GGGGGTATTGGGGGATGCTATGGGGGGGGTGTTATTGGGGGTTCTGGACCCTTTCTTTTTTTTTTCTTTTTTTTTTGTGCGGGGTGCCAACGACCCCCGATCGGTAGGTGCCGACCAGCCGATCGGTCGGCGGGTCGGCAGCCCTTGGGCCGCCGACCGTCAGGGGGKGCAACAATGGACATACCAGATATAGGTTGGGAGAAATGATGAGCATTTTGGACAAAAGGATTTAACAGTTTGGACGCTTGATAGAGTTAGGCAGATTGATTTAACAAATTATTAGTATCAGCAAACCACATTGAGTCCAACAATCAACCGATTTGAGATTCTGCGCAGACCGTCGGGACCGACAAAGAGATCAAATTAGTGAAGGGATTTTGCACGTTAGTCACATGCTTCTGAATCACGGGCCTGCTGCTCCCGTAACCTGTCAACCTAGGTGGATGTGCACAGCACACACGTGAGTGACGCACGACTTTCTGTGGGGCCCACCAATTTATGCGCTCGTCAGTCTAAATCGTTCCGTCCTTTGACGTAGGGCACAGTAGGTCTGTCCAAGTTTCTAGAATACCTGTCCATATCGATTCACAAGGTGTCCGATTCTAATCTACGGTTCCAAGAAGCTTCTACAAAAATCTAAAACGTTTGGACTACGCGCCCGATTCCAATCTACCGGTCCAAGACGCTTCTACGAAATTCAAAATCGGTTCGCCGTTTCTCTAACCTAGGCACGCTCACCTAAATTGATAAGAAAAAGAAACCAATCCGCTCTTGTTTATGGCCGGAACCCTACAGGGCCAGCCTATTTCGGTTCACCAGATGTCCAAAAATAGCGGCAGTATGCACCTAACTTAACTGGTCAAAGAAGTATTAAAAAAAAAGTCAAACCTCATTGATTGCAATAACAATTTGCGGGGTTGTTTCCTCTTCCCCGCACCCCCCGCCCCCTGATGCATACCCCTGTTATAACTAGCTGCTGATGCATGAGCCGTAGTTCCATATTTAGGCGAGGCAAAATTGCGCCTTGAAAAAAAGAGGTTTACAGGTACCAGTGGTTTAAGTACCGCCAATCCCATATTGACCAGGGGTTGCCCCTACTGAGCTCGACGTTATTACCAAGGACATTATCACTGAGCACGAGCACCTACAGCGTGCCAAGTCAGCAAACCCAGCCCCGCCTTACTCTGCATCTCAACCACACCCAGTTCCTCCTCCGGATTGGTAGCTTCACCTTGCAGATGCTCAACGTCTTAAGGCAAGGTAGGCAGCGTATGGGCATGTTGGGGCCTGAGAGGCTGGTTTCCAGGCCAGACTGGGTGCCTCACCTACTTACTTTTTTTTTTCAACTCCCAGAGAGGTACACCCATTTTACAGGGTGATAAGAGCATCCCCCTGAAGTGGGGTCCTTCGAGTGCAGGACTGTCTATGGGTGGGGAGTGTCACCTGGTGGAAACCGGGTCCAGCATCCCTTTATCATCACTTGTGCAGAACAATGGTTGTGTCCAGTTTTGGTCGCTGTGTCAGACCTATTGCCCTCTCCCAGTAGGCATTCGTTTGCTGTTGCACAGAGGTGAGGCCAGGATGTGCTGATATAATTTATACCTTACCATAACATTAATATCATTACTATCAGCATCAACAACGCATTGTCATCAGTTTCATCAGCTTTCCCATCATCATCATCATCATCATAGTATCGGTAGTATCAGTGGCATCATCAGCGAAGTTCATGAGGGACGCTGGGCCCGATTCTCAGTACGAGCTGATTTACCAACTCCACGATGTATCTCAGGGGGCGCTGGATCCGCTTTCCAGCAGGTCATAGCTCCCCACCAAACGACTGGAGCCCCCAGCAAGACAGGTAGGAGTGCGCATGCTCTTACCATCACTCCTATCTGTTGACGCGTGTAGATTTTCCTATTAAAAAAAAAAAAAAAAAAAGGTATGGCTTGCCGTTTACCCTCTCCTATTCCCAGGCCCCAATCTTTCTCAGTGTTTAGGGCCTCCCAGCCATTGTTGCCTCTCAGTTGTATGAACTCGTTTTTTCCCTGCGTTTCTATTTTATGGCGTTCCAGGCTTTCTCACAGAGCAGCCAGTCGACCAGGACTGACAAGGGAGTAAGTACCCGCACTATATGCTAATCCATCCGCAGAGAACAGAGGTGGGGGCAGAGCTGGGTCGCTTACAAGAGTGTCCAGCAGGCCACTACTGGTCAGCACCTTGGCGCTGGCACAATGACAACCACAGCCGCAAAGGTGTTCCCACTACTACCTAACGGAATGGAGGGGATTTGGCTTTCCGGTCACAGAAGCTCTAGGGTTGAGTTGGCGCAGCGTGGACCACTACTACTGCAGGGGCATGGTCCGAGTCTCAAGAACTAGTCCAGATGCAGTGATGAACCTGGCCGAAAACTCAGGAATAGACATGGTCCCAACGGTGCAACCTGGATCCACATGCAATGCAAAAACCCGTTCTCGAAATGCAGCAAGCTATTCCCCACACCCAAGACATAAGATCAACTCTCAAACAGAAAGGGAAACGGACAGGGGGAGACAGATAAAGGAGAGAGAAAGAGAAGGGCAAACGGAGCAGGGGGAGAGAGAACAGGGGGGATAGAAACTGAGCAAGAGGACAAAGAACAGGGTGATAAAGAGCAGCGGGACATAGAACAGTGGGAGAGAGAGAAGGAACGAGAGAGAGAGAGAGCAGGGGAAGGAGTGAAGGGTGGCAGACACGTGGAAGGTGGAGGACAATGAATGGAACACGGAGGTGACACATGGAAACAAGTGGGAGAACGACTGGATTGCTGTAAAGGAATGATAGCACGCAGAGGGGGAGGGGAGGGGGGAGAACGGCACATTGGGCTCATTGAGCGAGGAGGGAGCTTGGCGCCAACCATGAAAGTCTTACCGTCAATTATGTGAAACAAGGGTACCTGTTGCGGCTTCGCCCACAAAAGAACGAAAAGAGAAAAGCACAACAGAAAGAAAAAGCGCAATGCACTGTCCTATCATATGTGCTTCATTCATAATAACAAAAAAAAAAGAAGTCGATAGCAGACACAGAAATGCGCTTGCAAGAAAACAGGAGGGAATACCCCCAAGGGCCCAAACAGTTTTTTTTTGTTTTTTCGGACGGAAACTGATCTCGTATGCACGCCATGTGCTTACTTGTTGAGATTTGACTCTGTTGGTATGCAAGTGCATGCATGTGTGTGTGTCTTAGTTTGGTGGGCCCAGATGGTATGATTGACGATTGGCTGGGGGGAGATGTCGAAAGTCGCCTTCATTTGTAACAGTGCCAGTGATGTTAAGCAGGTCTCGTAATGTACGAATGAGGTAATCAGCATCCAATCTGCTTGGCGTCAAGCTCAGTCGAACACTTAAGAAAGCGCGGATTCCTCCACCCTCTCTCTCTCTCTCTCTCTCTCTCCACGGGGGGCAGTTGTCGGAAGTAGGGTTGTCATGTGAGCTGTAATGCTGGGCGTAACTCTTGGAGCATTTCCTGGAAGCTCTCTCTCTCTCTCTCTCTCTCTCTCTCTCTCTCTCTCTCTCTCTCTCTCTCTCTCTCTCTCTCTCTTAGGTCTATCCGTCACTTCAGGAGCCTGGGCTCGATCAACACCAGAAAGCTCACGATCATCGGCACTTTTCACAGAATCGTGGCGAATACTTAGTCACGCGAAGACAAAACAGCGGTATTAAAGTTGCACGTTACGGAGCTTAAACTGCTGGAATTCCCATGGCAGGTTATCCGAACGGCCATTCTGGCGTATATCAAGAATTGCAAGGACAAAGACGTTCGGGATATATTCATCAAATTCCTGAAGAACGAGGACAAAGACGAAACAAGCAGAAARAGARAGCGGTGATGTAAATTATAGTAAATTATTGTAAATTATTGTAAATAACTGCACTTGGAATAAAGGCTCCGAAAAATCGAGATCGCATACACAGAAAATCAGCAGATAAGTAAGTACCTGATAATACGACGAACAAAACAAAACAAAACAAACAAAAAGAAAGAAACAAACAACGATTAGCACATAATTCCTTGTAATTAAAATAATTTAAATAATATAAAATAAAAAATAAAAATAAAAATAAAAATAAAAATAATAAAAATAAAATAAAATAAAATAAATAAAACAGGAAAATAAAATAAAATAAAATAAAATAAAATAAAACAGCACAGTCAAGACAGTGGCATAAGAAAAGAAAGACGGAATGACGAAGGAATTTCCCGGGCATGTAAAATATAATAACCAAGGAAGAACGCAGGAGAAAGATGAAAAACGGAGTAAAGTTTTTTGGCTCTACAACCAGAGTGGGGATAAGTACATGGAGGAATCCGCGGAAGGTATTCCGTGAAGAGAATTGAAAGTACGAAGAAGTGTTATCTACGGATAGAATTAGGGATATAATACTACGGAGATGGGGATTGGAGACAGGAAGATGTCGGGTGAAATGGTAAAATATGGAGGAGGGACTGTACGAAAAATACGAGAGGAACTATATCTACACAGGAAGGACTACGGGATTTATCGTCGGAAGCAGGGATATTGGGAAAATACGGAGGAGGGACTTTTTGTCAAAATAGGATAATCCAAGGACTACAGTATTTATCGCCTAAAGCAAGGATGAGCCAGGTGAAATTGTAAAATACGGAGGAGGGACTTTWARGAAAAATACGATAGGAGTTAWATCCAGACAGGAAAGAAAAGTACGATAGGAATTATATCCAGACAAAAAAGACTATGTGAGTTATCGTCTGAAGCAAGGATGAGTCGAGAAAGTGGAAAATACGGAGGAGGGACATTTGACAAAATTGGATAGAAATTATATCCAGATAGAAAGGACTACGGGACTCATCGTCGGAAGCAAGGATGATACGGTCGAAAATGTAAAAAACGAAGGAGGGACTTTAGGAGAATACGATAGGAATTAGATCTAAAAGACTACGGGATTATCGTCGGTAGCATGGAGGATGCGGGCGAAATTGTAAAATACGGGGAAGGGATGTTGTGAAAAATAGGATGATAAGTATATCCAGAGTTACGGGAAGGGTTCAGCAGATAGGAGCAGAGACAAAAGGAGAGAGAACTGCAAGAGTAGGAGGACACTTGGGAGATGAGCATCCGGCGGCCGAAGGTGTGACGACGGAATTCTGCGACCAAGGACGTGATGAAAGAGTATTCTACAGGTTAGAGGAAGGATAGGTGGGGAAGAACTGGAGGTGTCCGGTATAAATACCTAGATTATGGCTGGGATGATTACCTGAGCAGAGAGGCAGAAGGGTGATCGCGACTTGTTGTCGTCGCATGCCATGGGCGGACGTGTATTCTGTGAGAGTAAAGCCTCGCACGTATTGTCCAAATCGCAAGTGTTCTCTCTCTCTCTCTCTCTCTCTCTCTCTCTCTCTCTCTCTCTCTCTCTCTCTCTCACCTGACCTCTTCCCTCCATCCGTACTCCACCCATTCTCTGCCCTCTTCCCTCCATCCGTACTCCACCCAATCTCTGCCCTCGTCTCTCCTTCCCTCTGCCAACCATCCGCTTAGACTTTTCCCTGACGCCCTTCCCCTCCATCCCGCCCTCCTCCTGAAACATCCTTCTCTTAAACCGCCTTCCTACCTACCTCCACCAGACCATATCCCTCCCTT